CGGGGGCGGGGGCGGGGGCGGGGGCGTGTCTCCCGGGCTCCCCGGCTGTCGCGGGTCCTGTGCGGCCGTCCCGGGTGCAGGAGGTGGCGTGCCCGGCTCCCCGGGGCCGGGACTCCTTAGCCTCTGTGACCTCTGCGGCCAAGACCGTGGGTCCCTAGAGCAGAGGTGAGGGTGGCCGCGAGAAACCGGGCCTTGCTGTTCTGCCCAGCGCCGTTCGCAGGTTTCCTGGTAGACTAGAGGTTTTCCGCGCGCTGCTTCCCCTCGGATTGCCCGCTGCCGCGCTGGGCGAGCAGGCTGAGCCCGCCCTGCGCCCTCCGTGGCTGCCGGAGCGGTGGCCTTCGAAGCCAAGACGGGACATGTCTGTTAGAGTCGCGGAGAGCCTGCACGACGACGAATTACACGTCCTGTTGGCCTGGAAGCTTGCTCTGCCCGAGGGGCTGCTAGCCAGAACTTCTGGGAACCGGGATCCTGCCTTACGCGCTCGGCCTTGGGGACCTTGTGTGCCTCTCCGTCCCTGCGGGACGCCTCTCCGGGTCGGCTTTCTGGGCGCCTTCCACCCGGCAGGCTGAGGTCCGCGCCGCCCCGCGGTCGGCCTCTGCAGCGCCGGACTCGGCCGCACCACGAGACGCGCGTTTCCCACGTACAGTGCCGTGCAGTGGAGAAAGGAGCAGTCGGCGCGCCGCTGCGGGCCCCGTCCTGTGCAGCGCGGGCGGCGTGTCCCCAGCCGAGCGGCGCTGAGCGCTGACGGGGAGCTGCCCGCCTCGGGGTCGCGGCGCGTGGCTCTCCCGGAGCTGCCAGACTCAGTGTCAGCTTAGGCTGTGAAGTCTGCCGTTTTTCACTTTCCGAGGGGAAACTGACCTGTGTCGGGTGTGAATTCGTGGCTCCCTCCATGCACATCTTTGTTTAGCAAGTCTGTATTACTTGGTAAATAATAGTGATTACCTTTTTTTTAAACAGGCAGCCATGGATCAGGTCATGCAGTTTGTGGAGCCGAGTCGGCAGTTCGTGAAGGACTCCATCCGGCTGGTGAAGAGATGCACCAAGCCGGATAGGAAAGGTGCGCGCCGCGCGACGGCAGATGATGAACGTCAGGTTGCCTAGGGCTGCCACTGAACAGCTCTTTAGCTAACAACCATTGCGTTACTGTAACCACATCCTAATTGATTTACTTGGCTCTGTTGCTTTGAGACATAATTCTTAAGTTATGTGCACTCTGTTGTCTACAGTTTGCTCTTATGTAGCTTCAGATGGTGTAAAATTGTGAGCCTTATTTAGGTTAGTTATTTATATTTCAGTGTCTTCCATATCAACATGAGAATTTGCCAGCTTTCATCCACTAATTGAGAAATTGAAATTATAATAGAATATAATATAGAATATATAAATAAATATAATGGAGAATAGTCCTTGTTTTCATGAAGCGTACGCTACTAGGGAAGACGTTGTCACAAACAAATTATTGCAATAAAAAATAAAATTACTGCCAGATTACTTACCCCCAAAAATTGGTGTTAGGGAGGATCGTAGCTAGTATATTGGAGGATTAGCCATGCCAGATGGTGTACAGCCTCCTGAGGAAATAATATAAACTGAACATACCCTCGTTGTAATTTTTCCTACCAATGCCCTTAACTGAATTTGATTTTTTTGAGCCTTATTTTTTACTTCTTCGTGGTGTCAGAAGTGTTGGATCAATCGTTATGTACTGAAATGATCAGTTTGTCACATTAAAAATTTTAAGAAAAGTATTGTAATTATTTTTGTTATTTATAGAGAGGAGCAATTATTTTCAGTATTTGTTGATAAATTCAGTAGAACACATGACATTTCTATTTTTTGTCTACTCAAATATCAACAAAATATGGCAATGAAAAACTTGTCAAAAACCTTTCTACTGGTATATTAGTAGCCTCAGGTTTGTTTTTTTGTTTGTTTGTTTAAATACTGCCTAGTCAGGGGACATGTACAACCAGTGAGCTTGTTTATGTTACTAATAGTCCCCCCCCATAGTTTGAATAGGAATTCAAAATATTAATGTTTGTAAATGCAGAATTCCAGAAGATTGCCATGGCAACAGCAATAGGATTTGCTATCATGGGCTTCATCGGCTTCTTTGTGAAGTTGATCCACATCCCCATTAACAACATCATTGTGTAAGTAGACATTGTGAAACGGGCTGTGTCTAGGAATAAATGAGAATCGAAACTGTTTGGGCTGGGAGTCAGCCTATTTCATCAGTGCGGATGCGCCTCCTGGCGGTAATGCTGCAGAGTCTGCTGACATCTATCCCGAGCCTGGTCATTTCAAGTGCTCTCGGCCTTACACCACCTGCACAGCAGCTCTGTGAGCTGGGCATGCTTTGTTGTGATTCGCAAAATGGTCACGGAAGTAGCAGATGGACTTGGCGTAGCGCTGAGCCCCTGTGACAGAAGCGACTGCCACTCCTTGGAGGGAATGCTTGCGTCCTGGAGTCGGTACAGGTCCCTAGCTCACATCTCTTGCTTGCTGCTCAGTGGCTGTCCCAAGCTTGGCAGACTCACTTTGTCCCTCTAGACCTGGCTTAGCCCACGTGGGTGGCAATACTTGGATTGTGGTTAGGCCCCAAACCCAGTTGCGGCACCCTTCAGTGGGAGCTGCTGGGCGAGGAGCCTGTGGCAGCCATGCAGAGTACGGGACTGCTGGGAGGAGGGGAGGAGGCTGAGACCAGGTGAGTTTAGGCTTCTACAGATGTTTTTGCCTTTTAAATTCTCTCCAAGGGGCCAGGGAGATGGCTCAGTAGAATAAGCACTTTCCTGGCAAGCACAAGGGCCTGAGTTCAATCCCTGGTTCTGCCAAATTAATTAATTAATTAATTTAATTCTCTACAAGTCCTTGGGGTACCACATGGCATGAACACTTAGAGTGATCAGGCCTAGGTGATTGGGATTCTTGGGAAAGTGTCGTGGTCTGTGACTTTGCATTCATTGATTCGCAGCTCATCTGCCATTTGGAGGCAACAGTGCCTGTCATGTTTGCGGGTGGTGGGGTTTGAGGCCATTAGAAAAGTTTTCTGAACTGTAAGTCTGTTAAACACTCGGCATTTTATCCCTGGCACTTGAGATTGTGGTTTGAGTGACAGACAGTTGACTGAATGCATATTGTCAGATGGGTTTCTTCAGCGGGTGGCCCTAGCTGTCCAGCAGAAGTGCTGCAGAGCGAGACCGTAAGGTCGTGGGGAGTTAGATGCAGGGGCCCAGGCACTCATCTCTTGCTAGTTCGGAAGTGCTGCGTATGTTATCGACGAGAAATGCCATCTCTGAGATGGAGCAATCTTGGGGAGAAAACCGAGACGTCTCTGCAGTGTCCTCTCAGTACGAGCAGCGGCGGAACAGTGCCTCCTTGGTCCGGCTTTCACGTTCCTTCCTGCTCTTGCTTCAGTTTGAGTCTGTGGTCAGAAGGCTTCCTCTAGGCCATGGAGATAGCTCAGCAGCATAAGTGCCTGCCTGGCAGGCGCAAGGTCCCGGGTTCAAACCCTGGTCCCACAGAATGAAAAAGAAGGCTTCCACTGCTGTTTGATTTGGTGTGGCGCTTGTTGGCTGTGATAAGCACCTGCCCTTTGGGAACGATCTCACGGGCGCCCCTTCTCTTGGCACTGCATTCTTACCTCTTGCCAAGTTTCACTGTCTCCTGTGGGTCCCCCTAGATGCTGTGCCTGTCTTGTTAAGATTGTGAGCTCTGGGGCAAACCTGTTGGGTTATTCATATTCATTGAGTACACAGACACACGCTTCCTGTGGACCCCAGTCCAGTGCCCTTCGCGGCCATTGAGAGCTTGGAATAACCATGAGTTAAGTGCACCATCAGTTTCCGCTTCCTCCTCACGCAGTGGTGCTGAAGTGAAGGACGGCTGAGCCCTGCCGAGTCCTCACCGTCTTGTCTGTCAGCGCAGCCCAGGAGGAAACTCAGGGCCGGGCACCGGGTCCTAAGTGGTGGGGCGGCATGGATCTTTCATTGCGAGCTGCTTAGAAACACTTAAAAAAAAATTGGGTTTGTGTTTAAGGAGTTAAAAATTTGTTTGTTTTGTTTTGTTTTAATCTTAACAAGTAAAGCATTTTGTGAGGATAGCTGTAGAAAACTCTTTTCATGTTAAGCCATGATAGCTATAAACGGAAATTTGTTTTTCTTACTTGAGAGAGTAAGTCACTGCTTAAATCACTTTGAGATGACAGCAAGGAAATATAACGGCAGGCTTTTCTTCCGTTAGATGATATTATCACATTTTTCCTTCTGATGATGTTTCTTTTTTCTCTTTTTAAAATTATAACAGCCAAACAATGCCCATAGCATTGAGCATTTCCTGGTGCTGTGATTCTAGTATCCCAGCATGATGCCGCAAGGGGCTGTCGCACTTCATTTCCAGGCCCACGAGGGGCTGCCCATGGCCTGCGCCTGGTCCTGAAGGTGTGCTGGCTGGCTGATGCTGCGGTGCTGTGGGCATTTGACGCCACAGTCTTGGGCCTCGCTCTCTGTTGTCTTCCACTGCGCTGGCATCACACCAGGGCTGCCTCAGGCTGGGCCTGGACCTAGCCGTGGACTGAACCGCAGAGCTGTGGCCTGGCCCTTGCCAGCTGCGCTCTGGGCCTGTGCAGCACTGGGGTGACTGGAGTCGGAGTCTGGGCTCTGCCCGCTGCTGAGGAGCTGGGCTGAGGCCCTGGTGCCGCTCTGGGTCTGTGCTGCTCACCCCGCGTCTCACAAAGGCAGCATTGCCCCCCTGTGCTCCACCCTGTGCACCCTGCTCCAGGGGCACTCGTGTGCCTTGTCCAGTCCCAGCTGGTTTCTCAGGCCCAGAATGAAAGGCATGCTCCGTAGCCAACCACTCCTCCACGTGATTAATACATTTCTGTCATGGCCAGAAGGAAATTATGCTGGACAGTTCCAAGAGGACACTTCCCCAGCGAGCCGGGAGGGCTTTAGAGCAGCTCCACTTGGAAGCTCTTACCCAGGACCTTTGTGGCCCCAGGGTTTTAAAGCTGGCTGTGCTTTTAAAAACTTACCTTGGGGCACAGTTAGATGTGATTCTCAAGTAAGTGAGAAACTTTTGATTCCAAAAAATGATAGCATATTACATTTCAAGTAGTTATTACCCTTAAAATCGCAAGGCTGCTTAGAACCGACCCCATTTTTCTTTCTTTTGCAGGGGTGGCTGACCACTTTGGAAGAGTGTTTTTCTTCTTGACACCGTAGGGGTGGAGAAGCTCATGAAGTAAAAGTTTGTCTCTGTGCTTTGTGCTTTTGGTTTTTTCTTCCCCCTTTAAAATGTTTTCTATTTGTAAGTTAAAATAATTTCAAATAAATTTCTTTGCCCATCACACATGTTTATCAAAGTTTAAAGATAAAAAATACTTCTATCTCTCCTCCTCCCGGCCCTTCCTCTTTTCCGCCTTTTCCTCCCTCCTCCTCCCCTCCTGTCTGTCTCTGCCCCTCTGTGTGTCTTGTCTTTCTCCCCAACCTGCAGTCCACGCACATCATTCTCAGTGCAGGCTGCAGAGTGAGGTCTTGTGGATGCCAGTGGGTCTGGTGTCTGTGAGGCCGGTCAGGGTCTGGTGCGGAGTCCTCACCTGGAGAGTGGGTACGAGGACAAGAGCTGGAGTCCAGACCCTGCTCACCAGTGTTCTTCCGGAGGTTTCTGTGATTGTGGGGACCAGGCCTTGGCTCCTCAGCGCTTCCTCAGCTGTGTGTTTTCCTCCCCCAGAGGCTGGAGAGAGGTGGCCAGAAAGGGTGGGAAGCCCTGAGGGTATGTTAGTGCATTTGAAGGTGACTGCTTAAATCCTAAGCTGGGAGTCCACAGGAGAGTTTTTTCCTTTTTCAAAGGCCCCCCCTCCTTTGGTGTGCTCACTCAGTGTTTGTGATCCGAGTGCTAGATGTGTCTTTTCTTTTTCATCCTGGGGTTGAACCCAGGACCTGTGCACTGCGCCATACCCCTAGTCCTTTTATCTGTGTGTCTTTGACTGCCCAGGTCTCCTCAGGTCGCTGGTTCCCCTCCTGGGCCCTGCTTTGGATCTTCTGCAGAGCGGCTTCTGATCTCTACGGCTCTGAGGCAGCCTTGCAGGTAGGCGGGGCCGCTGGGCACCTGTGTGGCCTTCCTGCAGCATCACCCCTCACGTGGCTGGGGTTCAATTCCAGCAAGGATTTGGGGGAGCACACTGAATCCCTGGGAGGGGTCTCATGATTAGGGGTGGTCAGTACCCCTCAGGTTTGGGACCCGTGTTCCAGAGGCCAAAATATGCTTTTGTAACGGTGTTCTGAGTCTGAAGTACTGGCGGCTTTCACCTGGTGTCTCAGGAGGGCAGAAATGTAGTGAGGCTTTGCTGACTTAGAGACAGGCCTCCTGGCCCCTGAGAAGCCAGCTGTGCTTGTGTGCGTGTGCACACGCAGCTGTCTGTCCCCACGCCTGGTGTGTGCACACCTGCGCCTAGACGTGTGCCTCCTAAGCACGACCCCCTATTCCAAGTACTCGCTTTGCTGCTGAGTTTCTGTTGCAGGCAAAAGTGAACGTTCGTGATTTTCACGTAAGAACTGTGAGCCTGTGTACGTCACACCTCTGGCCGCTGGGTTAACTTGGTGACATAACTGGCCCGGCAGCTTTGTGCTGTCCTCGCGGGGGATGTGAGCACTGACCCAGAGCGCTAACGAGCAGCAGTCCTTCACAAGCCATGAGCAGGGGTGGAGCAGGCCACCGCAGGCCGATGCAGTGCTCCGGGGTGCAGAACGCCTGCTAAACTCCTGCACGTATGAGCCGCCCTGTCGCCCCTCCCCTCCTGGGCCGTGTGCCTTCCTTCCCTGGGCCCTGGGCTTAGAGCAGCCTCAGCCACTCCTGTGCAGGGAAGTGCAGCCAAGGCCAGCAGGTGCGCAGTGAGGAGCCAGCCTGGCTGCAGCTTCCTCTGGACAGTACTCGTATCGAAAAAATACTACTGAGTGGGAGCGGCCCCTGTGTAGTGTGCTAAAACCAGCCCCTTCAGTCAGTCACAGCTGAGAACATTCACCCTGGAGAGACGGGAGGCCTGCCCCCGGCTCCAGCAGCAGCTCCTCTGGCCTGGCAGCAGCTCGTCCTGCCCGAGGCCACTGCTGTACAGCTGCGCCAGTCACTTGCGGTGTTGGGGTCACTGACTGCCTTGCTGTGCTAGGCCCCAGCTCTCAGTCCCTCCTCACTTTCCAAGCTCCTGGTGGAGCTTGATTTTCTTTTTAAATCAATTCTGCTCTTAATGTTGTTTTTTAGGGATTTACAAGGCATCTAATAAAGACTCACACAATGTCTGCATTCCATGATTTGGGGTTCATTAAAGTGGTACATCAGACAATTCACTAATTACAATTTAATCAAAATATATTTGCATTTTCCTAACCTGCGATGTCTTCCCTCAAAAAAAACATTGCTTGATTGCTTTTTATGAGGTCCTCAGGAAGCACCTGTGAATTTCTGGGTGAATGTGGTTGGTCATGGGGACCAGCCGCCAGTGGAGGGGCCTGGTGCCCTGGTTGTGGATGAAGGCTGCATCAGGGTTTTGGGCTGTAGGTTAATCCTGAGGGTAACTGCTGCGATACTGACACTTCCCAAAACACATCCAGTGCTTTTCATTGAATTGTTCAGCCCTCCTGTGTGTCATTTTGAATGTTTAACATCAGGCCTTTGAAAAATTAACATGTCGGTGCTCAGGGCCACCACACCCTTCTCCTGCACAGTCACCTTTCACCTTTCACCCCATGGGAGGGAGCCTGGTGCCACTGACTACTGGGGGAGTGAGAACTGCAGGGACAGCTGCTGAGCACGGCCACGTGAGTCCGAGGGCCCTTGGCAGTACGGTGGTGGTGGTGACTCAGCCTGGCCCAAGCCCTGGTCTTTGCAGCAGATGTCTCCCGTCCGCCCGGTGTGAGGTAGCAGCGTCTGGTGTCTGGTTGCGGTCCCTGCCGCCGTCCACCCCACCTGTGGGCCAGCATCTCTTCATGATGGCGGTGTGCGTTTGGGCGAGATTGCCCTTATAGTGGTGTGGCAGGCAGTGTTCTGGCTCTTGTGCTTTGAAAGCCACATAGGGGAGGGGGTTGCGCCTGCAGTGGGCCTGGGAGGATGTGTGCAGGAATGTACGGAGCCCTGGGGAGGGCTCCGAGCCGGCCCACATAGTGGCGAATAGCACTTCCTTCCCCAGAAGGTCTGTGGGATTCGTGGAGGAGACCCTTGGAGAAGCGCAGTTCCTTGTGCTTCGCTGGTGTCATTCTGATGTTTGGAGCACTGAGGGTGTGTGGACCTGGACAACCCTGGGCTCCGGGTTTTCTGGGGTCTCCTCCCAGGGTAGTTTCTAGGTTCTCATCTTGAGCAAAGAATTGGAAAAACCAAGGACAAAAGGTAGAACAGTTTTACATTCATTAAAGCTGGGAAATAATGCCTTGCAGAGTGACTTTGGGCTGCTAAAAGCCTGCTGCAGCTTGAGAGCGCTCGTCCCCCAAGCGCCTCCCACTGCCTAGCGTGGCTCGGGCCTATGCCCTGTCAAAACCCGCAGGACAGCACTCTCGGTTGGTTCCACACGCAGGCCTGTGGCTGTGTGCAGCCCACGAGTCCTGGGACTTGGCAGTGAACAGAGGTGCCTGCTTCCAGCCAGTTCTCCACGCCCCGATTTTCTGCCTCGGGGGCGTTTCCAGGAGCCCTGATTGATTCCTGTTCCTCTGTGCACTGCAGCGTTTTCTATTCAGCATAGTTTTCATTTCTGAGAAGCACGAGGTAGATAGTGAGCTTGCTCCCTGTGACCAAGGAAAAGGCTCTACGTAGACTTTTCTCTTACAGTTGTAAGGTTTCAGGGAGTCATTCCTTTAGCTAGTACAGTCCACCTACCAGCTGTGGAGAGTGGTAAGCCGTGCCTTCTCTGCCTCAGCTCTCATGTCTGAGGTGGAAGGCTGCACGTGCTGCACATTAGTGACTGGTGTTATTAATCATCAGGGGAGCAGGGCTGTGGGCGGCCTGGCTGGGGCCCTGGGCCCAGCTTTTGATAGCCACAAGGACTCAGAAGGTGTTAGTGTGTTCCAGGCCATCTACTGCCTGCCTGCCTTCTTTTTTTTTTCTTGGTCCTGGGGACTGAACCCAAGACATTCAAACCAAGCTATGTCCTCAGCCCTCTCTGTTCTTTACTTTGAGACTTTGCTTGGGAAGCCACTACACTGCCTTGCCTGGCTCAAATCATCCCCCTCAGCCTCCAGAAGTTGGGCTTTCAGGCATGTGCATTACCTGCCTCCTCACTGTATTTTAAAAATGAGAAAGTGTCTTACAAAGTTCTTACAAATTTTCAATTGATTTTTCAAAAAGGTTCTTCCACACTGAGTGGAAAAATGTAATTGTTCAATAAAAGATCATTATGTTTAAACTGATGCTAATTTTTCAAATGCTTGATGTTAAACATTCACAGTGACATACGGTAGGGTGGAACAGTTCAATGAAAAGTCTACAGAATTTAAACATCAGATGATAAGAGAAGTCCTTAGTGCACTTCCCAAGTCTGTGTTCCTCTTTTTCTTTCATGGAGAAGTGGTAACGGTTTGGTTTCCCTCTTTTTTCCTTCATGCAGTGACCATGTGTTTGCGTATGTGAGCAGCGGATCACTCAGCCCGGTCCCTGAGCCACAGATGGCTGTTGAGGCTGTATGTCCTTCCGTGGCCTGCCTGCCCACCCACGACTGCAGGCTCACTCCCCACTTAAGGGTAAAACTGGGGTCGAGCTGTCTGTGCCTTCATTTCTGAAGTGTCCACGGTAAGGGCTGGCCCGTCCTGCAGGAGAGCTCTGCCCTGTGTTCTTCCAGGGTTTATTTTCTGGTGCCTCTGGGTGCAGGAGTTCTCCGGGCTGCATCTCCATCGTGTCCATATTTCCTGCTGGCGTGTGCCTTGTGCTTCTCTTGTCCATCCTTACTGTGGTGGCTGTGCACAGGGCAGCTTGGGCTCCTCACACACCAGGGCTTTCTCGGCAGTCTTAAGTGCAAGACCCACCTGGATCTTGTCAGACGTACGGTGCTGGGGGCCGCCTTGGCCCCGGATCCACTGCTCAGTGCTGGTCAGGTGTCTGTGTGCCGGCAGTGTGCTCGTCCACGTGAGCCTCAGGTCGGGTGACACGAGGGCTGCACCCACAGCCTGGGAGCAGGGGTTGTTGGCTGGTGCTGTGAGCACCTTGTGGTAGAGAAAATGGCTGTGTAGCTGCTCCTGAGACCACTCAGTGATGGGGGCAGCCACATCCAGAAAAGGCGCCT